GAATAGAACACAAAAATGAGTATGAAATTGAGTTTGTGTCTGTATAAAGAAGTGCAACCCGGGACCATGCTATTTTCAAAAACGATGTTTTACTTGTATCTTGTGTGTGTGAAAACCCAAATAAAACTTTATTTAAAAAAGGGGGGTTCAGTCCAAATTTCTAAGGGTCATATTGCAGATAGCACCCTGCATTCCTAATACAGTTCTAAGAGGGAGGCAGAGTTGTCCAAAGTTGAAACAGATGCATGAATTTCCATTATAACACACTGGCTAAAATTACTGTTCTTCCCTATCAGTCCTCTTATGGAGAAGAACAATCAATCAACATAGGACTATTTCATTAAAACTCCAACATGTCAGCCTCTCCAAGGAGGAGTTCCTAACAATAGGCTACAATGTATTGGGGTCAGGAAGTCCAACAGGATCTGTCTGCTTTAATCAAGAATGTTTTCTTGAGCAAACAGACCTCCCTTTGCAAACCAGCAAATTATCAGATAAACTGTCTCTAAATTAACTCTAGCTTATTATAGTGCTCTGCCCATAGCAATTTTGGAGAGCCAATATAGCAAAGTCCCACATGGGTTGAGACTGTCCCTGTGGACAAGGGGCCACTGAAATCACAGCTCATGCCCTGCAGTATTGAACCCTCTGTAAGGGCTCAAAGACTAGTTTTCTAACACCTTACCTGACAAAATATCTTGGAAATTCTGATCCTTTTTATGTACAACTATCATTGGATCAGTAAGATACAATTTCTTTGAATGTAGCTAGGTTTTACTGTACTGTCTGTAAAATGAGGCAGATCCTGGTGATTCGTTGATGATTTTACCATCAATGTAATACATTACTATGTCCTGTCCTGTCCTGTCCTATTTTATTGTATCCCTAAGTTTAATTTTTATTCTGGTCTGTGACCAGAATAAAGATTTACTGACTAGAATTTGATACCAGTCTCCTATGTACTTGTAATGTTAAATGCTTTTTAACATTTTTGCCATATGCTAAATAAATAAATAAGTAAGTAAATAAGCAAGTAAGTAAATAAATAAATAAATGTTCTTGGAATGCAAAGTTTTCAGATGTGAAAATCTCAGTATACCATGATCAAGTACTGAAATGTTACTTGGGTGAATGAAATCTAAAAACCACCGTGAGGAAATAAAGCATATCTATGTTTTAAAATTCACTTTCTTTCAATCTTCTATTAAAAAGGAGCTACCGTATTTATATGTCAGCTATATCACCTAGAAGAAAAACATGATACAAAGGAAAGGCAGTGAAGGGGCAGAAGGGAAAAGCTGACAAGGGAAAATATAAGTTCAGTTGTAATAGCTTTGGCTTAGTTTCCATAGGCTATGATCTTTTTTTCAAAGAGCAAATACAATGCAGGAGTCTAGGTTATTTAATATCTCTCTTCATTGCTTTCAATTCTTCTTTTCAGACTGTGACAAATTTGTATACTCACCTCCAGAATCACTTTATATTTGCTTTCAAGTATGAAAATTGTTAATATTACTTTCTCATTGAACAAACAGTAAGTAATGACAGTTTGGTAAGAAAAATGAACTGTATAGGTATAAACGAAGGGAAACTTGGCTTAAAGCCAGTAACTGCGAGAGAAATCTTGGAGTCCTAGTAAACAATGAGCCAACAATGTGCGGCAGCAGCCAAAAAAGCCAAAGCAATCTTAGCCTGTGTAAATAGAGAAATAGAATCAAGATCACGTGAAGTTCTAGTGCCGCTTTATAAACCTTTAGTAGGACCACATTTGGAATGCTGCATCCACTTCTGGTCACAATACAAAAAAGATGTTGAGACTCTGAAAATAGTGCAGAGAAGAGCAACAAAAATGATTTAAGGGACTGGAGACTAAAACATACAAATGGTTACAGGATTTGGGTATGTCTAGTCTAATGAAAAGAAGGAGTGGGGGAGATATGATAGCACTATTCCAATATTTGAGGGGCTCCTACAAAGACAATGGGGTCAAATTATTTTCCAGATCAAAAAGGCAAGAGAAAAAACAATGGTTGGAAACTAACCAATGAGAGAAGCAACCTACAACGAAGGAGAATTTTACTAATAGTGAGAGCAATTAACCTGTGGAAAGGGAACTTCACGAAGACAGTAGTGTCACTCAAACAGGAAAAGCCAAAGCGGAATATCAGGCCAGCCATAAAACAAACTTACATAGGAAAAGGAATCAAATAAAAGGTATTAAAGAATCCCTATAGACAAAAGCCTAAGTAATTAAGAAAACTAGACAAATAAGAAAAGGAAACCCTTACAAACAAACACAGGACATACCAAATAAGCAAAACAAACAGACAAAAGACACAAAAAATATAAATTACAAGAGAGACAGGCAGGAGATTGCCACAAGACAAATATGAAAAAAACATTATAAAGCTAAAAGAGATTAGGAAAAAAACGATAATACAATCTAACCACCCCGCAGAATTTGCCTTCCGCACCCCGCGGAGTTTGTCCTCCGGCAGGAATAAAGACAAACTCAAACAGGATTTGACACATTAAGCACAAATACAAACATTCACACGAAATCAACTCACAAAGGGAGAAAAGGGTATAAAAAACCAGGGACTTACCATAAGAAGCTAGCTAGCCCAGGAACGCAGACTTCTCGCTGTCCCTCGCCTTCCTGAAAAATAAAAAGATCCAGCTTTCAAGCAGTTGTCCGTATCCTTACGCTGGAGCTCTCCCAGCGGGAAAATCGAATCCTCGAAGGAAAGGCATTTTGACACCTTTCAACAAACCAATGGAATAGCTTGCCTTCAGAAATTGCGGGTGCTTCATCACTGGAGGTTTTTTAAAAAAGACTAGACAACCGTTAGTCTGAACTGATATAGAGTCTCCTGCTCGAGCAAGGGATTGGACTAGAAAACCTCTGAAATCACTTCCAACCAGTGGTGGGATTCAATTTTTTTTTTACTACTGGTTCTGTGGGCATGACAGAGCAAGGATACTATAAAATCTCCAGTCAGTATTTGCCGGTTCTCCAAACTACTCAAAATTTCCGCAACCAGTTCTCCATAACTGGTCAGAACCTGCTGAATACCACCTCTGCTTCCAACTCTATCATTCTATGGTCTATGTTATTCTACAGTCTTATTAAGTTGTTATGATTTATAATTTAAACTTTACACACCTTCTTCACTTTTCTTTGGCTTGTCAGCCCCAGGCAAGAGTTACATGGAAGGTTTGAAATTCAAACTGAGTAGGAAAGGCAACAGGCTTCCAGATAACTCACAATGCCTTTAATTTTAACATTAGGAGATCTGGGCTGCAAAACCACAGGAAAAGGTTAATAGCCCTTTGCTGCCATCTATTGGCCACCATATAAAAACATAGTTGACAGAACTACTACTGTAAGATTAACTTAGCCCAATTTTCTAGGGTTGCACAATGCCCTGAATTGATCACATAGGCAGGATTTCCATTGGCCAAAATGTAGTTGGCTGTTTTGAATTGGCGTATGCCTGGGGTCTTCAAACTTGGCAAGTTTAAGACTTGTGAACTTCAACTCCCAAAATTCCTCCTCCAGTCATGTTAGCTCAGGAATTCTGGGAGTTGAAGTCCACAAGTCTTAAACTTGCCAAGTTTGAACACCCTATGCAAACGAGGCTACTAAAATTTCTGCATTTGGCGCAAAAGGTCAAAGGCAAATAAGGTACTCACCACCGGTAATAACTGCTCAACAGTATCTTTAGAATCAGAAACTGCTGCTTTGTAAGTGCCAGTCAGAGAGCAACACCAGGAGCCAGCTTTACAGGTAATCCTCAACTACAACAGTTCATTTAGTGACCATTCAAACAACGGCACTGAAAAAAGTGACTTATGGCCCTTTTTCTCACTTACGACCTTTGCAGAATCCCCATGGTCCAGAGTTGGTATTCAGCAGGTTATGACCAGTTCTGGAGAACGGTAGCGGAAATTTTGAGTAGTTCTGAGAACCAGCAAATCCCACCTCTGACTGGAGATTTTAAAGTCTCCTCCCCCCTGCCATGCCCACCAAGCCACGCCCACAGAACCGGTAGTAAAAAAAATTGAATCCCACCACTGACATGGTCATGTGATTTATATTCAGATGCTTGAGAACTAACTCACATTTATGACGTGTTGCAGCATCCTAGGGTCATGCAAACCCCTTTTGCAACCTTCTGACAAACACAGTCAATGGGGAAGCAACAACCATTTTCCTAATTTAACGACTGCAGTCATTCAGTTAACAAATGTGGCAAGAGAAAAGCCGTAAAATTCACTTAACAAATTTCTCACAGCAACATAAGTCTGGGGGAAATCCATTGTGGTCGTAAGTCGAGGACTATCTGTACACTCTCACACTCACACTCACACTCACACTCACTCACTCACTCTCTCTCTCTCTCTCTCTCTCCCTCCCTCCCTCCCTCCCTCCTGTTCTGCTGGTGGGGTTTGCACAAGGCCACGAGTTTGATCGCCCAACCTAGAAACAGAACACGGCTAGCTGCTGATCCACAGATCGTGTCCAATGTAACGATTCCAGGGATACAGAGGGCAATTAATTACGACCGCTACACTTCATTTGCTTGTTTTTAAAAGTCAGAAAAGACCTTCGGCTGCATTTAAACTGCATTTCCCAGAAGTCAAAGAATTACGCATGCGTTTACTGAGTTTAACGGCGACTTAGAACGCCTTCCTCAGTCAATAGAAAGCTACCGAGCCAGTAGGAAACTGCCGCAGCTCCTAATTCGTTCGTGATGTCTTCAGGAAACACCTATCTGCTAGAATGACAGGTTCCTAATCAAATCCGTAGTTGGAATTATCAGATTTGCCAATAAAGTTTCCGGAAGGAGGCGAGGCTTAGAAACAACAGAAAGAAGGAAATGCTAGAACGTGATTGACAGTCGAACACCCAATAAATCCTACCCACCGTCCAATCGACTTCAGGCACCACCCATTTCCCCCCCTCCCCTCACCGAAGTGGGTAGCAACAGTTGCCCCGGTGAGGGAACACGGAGGGCGCCATAGCCACCGTAGTCGTGGCGACCAGGAAGCCCGGCAACAACAACAACAACCGCCCACCCTCCCTGCCTCTGCGCGATTCCCGCCAAAATCGAGAGAGAGCACGATAGTCGCGACGACGTCCCCGCCCCCTCCCTCAGGGGACGAGGCCTCGCGGGGCCGGGACAGTCCAGGTGGGTTCGAGTTCGGTTCCCCTTCCTTTTTTCCGTAAAAAAAAAATGGCGAAGCTTGTTGTTCCTCTTTTCCTTTCTCCGAAGTAGTCGGAGAAAAGTGAGGCGGAAAAGTGAGGTTTCCCCCCCCCCTCCGGTGTTGGGCCCTACCGCGGCCACACCAAACAGGGCTTGACGGGAAAGGGCCCAGGCCCTGAAAGGAGGAGCGTGGACTCTCCTCGGTGATTGGTGGGCGAGAGGGCCAATAGGAGTGGGTGGACACGCTTAGGGAGGCCAATGACACTTGGAGAGAGGCGGGTGCGGGCGATCGGCTCAGGAAAGGGGAAAAGGAGAGAATAGTTGACTTCAAGCAGCGTCATAAAGTCGCGGTGACGTCACGAGCATGAGCTTTTTTGGTGAAGTTGCGTAGTAGCGCTAATAGCCCGAAGGAGTGCCTCTTATGAGAATTAATTAAAAGATAATAAAAAGGGTTTTTATAAAGAAGTCCTGGTCGTAGAGAAGGTGGCTATTTGATGGAATAACTCCCATGGGGCAAAGTCATAGGTTAATTATAGCGTATCTTATTAGAACCTCTAATTTGAAAACAGATAAGAGAGCTGGGAAGACTTTTGGGCAGGTCACAGGAAGTCATTTTTAGGCAAGAGGAAAATAGCTAACAACTGCCATGTAAGAGCTGCTTACTTGGCTGTTTTTATACACGGTTTGAAGAATGTGATAGCTGTGTTGAGAAAGTGGGGTGTTTTTTGGGAGGGGGGGAATCCCTGCTCTCTGTGGTTCTCAATAAAGCTCCTTGTCTGCTCTGGTGAAAGGCTGCTCCTAGAACTGGCAATACTGTATAGGTATACCACTGGTTTTTCAAGACATAAAACAGATTCCTGTACCATGTTGAGAACAGATAATGGTAAAAGTAATAGTGGAAGATTTTGAAATCAGAGGTTTTTGGACCATGTGCTTGAAACAAACCTGTTGCTCACGGATAAGGCAGATTTTATGCAGACATTCTCAATTTTATTCCCGGGGAAACTCAGGATTGATAACTTTTAAAAAAATAACAGGTAGCCTAAATAAATAGAAATCCTAGTGTGAATCGGTACTATAGGTGTTAAAATGCTAACACGTGTACAAACAAAAGACACACTGCTAATGGAATTGACAGTATATCTGAATCCTCAAATAAGGCAAACATTACTGTTAAATGTAACTTCAGATTAACAGGGATATCTAAAAGCCTGTTTCACAGGGGTATCTTTCAGAGTGCTTTAGGTAAAATTATTTGTGTCCTGTGCTCGTGGCTAGGTACAGAGCAAATCCCAATTGGGTGAGAGCAATGATAAGAATAAGGTAAATAAGTTAAATGTAATGATAGTATAAGAGAAATAAGAATGATTATGGATTATATTAGGATTTGTCATTTATGTATTTATTTTTACTCCGTTCAGTACATAAATATGAATGAATTCTTGTCTTACAGGTAGTTCTTATTTAATAACTGATCACTTAGCAACCAAAGTCACAACAGATCCCCCAAAATGCAGTTGGCACTTGGCAGTCAGCCTGCATTTACATTATTTGTTTTTTTGCCAGAAATCTCTGCTTTTGATTTCTGACAAAAAAAAAGCCAATTGAGAACAATAAGTTCATTTAACAACCACAACATTCACTTAACTGTTATGTTTGCCTTACCACCATGTATGCTTAACAACTGCTTCAAAAACATGTCGTAAAATTGGGTCAGTCATGTGATGACCCACTTAACAACTAGCATGATTTATGACTATAATTCCAAGCTCAGTTACAGTTGTAAGTTGAAGACTTCCTGTATTTTCCTAATATATATTCAAGATAACATTACAGCCTAATGTTCAATTTCCTCACTTTGAGCGATCTAGGTATTAATTTAGGTTCTAAAGAAAATTCCTATATTGAAAAGTTGATGAATTGCTTCACATTTTAATTTACTTTTCACAAATTGGAAGTTGAAACTAAACTGAGGTGAAATATTTTTGACCATTCTAGAGATACTGAATGCCAAATACTGTTTGATGTCCTAATGATGTGTTACATCTAATGTTTTACAGGCTATTAAGTTTGATTTGGATCTAAATGTTAGTTTGCATTTGGGGGAGGTGCCTTTGATTTCTGGAGACTACCTGACAAATGCCTGCAGTTTTCTTGGCAAGATTTCAGAAGTGGTTTCTTGGTTTCCTAGGATTGAGAGTGACTGGCCCAAGGTCATCCAGCTGATTTTGTGCCTAAGGTGGGACTATATCTCGCAATCTAGTTTCTAACCTGGTGCTCTAACTTCTATATCAGACTGGCTCTCTTAGTTTGCTTTATAAGTAGTTAAGATATTTATGGCTTCTTCTACTTATTCCCTTTATAGTGCAGGGGTCACCAACCTTTTGGACCCCAGGGACCACCAAACTCATAATTTTAAATCCCGTGGACCATTAATATGGATTTTGAGTGACGGTGGGGGAGGGAGAGAGGGAGGGAGAGAGAGGGGGGGGTATCCTGCAATCCCAGATAAAGAACAATTGATCGGTAGGAAAACAGAGTGGGGGATTTTCCTGCAGACTTTTTGGGATTTTCCCAGGGTCTATGCAGAAAAAGCAGAAGCAGCAGACACCCTGGGAAAATCCTCAAAAAAGTCTGCAGGAAAATTCCCCACCCTGTTTTCCTACTGATCAATCATTCTTTATTTGGAATTCTCCAGCTCCATTTTCAGGGGGAGAAAGAGAGAGAAAGACTTTTGGCTTCATGCAAGGAAAGCAGCAGAAGTCTTTCTCTCCTCCGGACTTCCGGTTTGAGCTTCTTCAGCGACAGACCGAAACCTTGTCTCTGCAAGGCTTCGATCCGTGCTCGCCACTGGAGCGCCCCGAACCGGCTGGTTTCGGGGCTAAGCCACCCCGTAGAGGTGGTGAAGAGGGGGGAGACTGCCAGCAGTGTTGAGGAGAGCCGCATCTCTCCTCCCCAGCTGGCCATTACTCCCTTTCCCGAAGGCGGTTGCAGCGGTGGACAGAAATGGCCACCACAAAGAAGAACTTGACCGGAAAAGAATGTGCAGGAGGAAGATAAGAAGAGAAAGTTTTGGTTGACCGGGTCAAACAGCAAAAGCAACAAATAAGGTACCCTGGAATTGAAACTGTTAAAAACCAATAACATTGTTCCCTAATAAGATTTTTAAGCTGCGAAGGAGAGAGAAAAGGGAAAAGATTTGGTTTTCTCCTTTTCCTATACTGACAGCTAAGAGACTTAAGCAAGAAATTGGAAAAAAATCCACTTTGACATCAATAGGCATTTAATGTTGAAAATAAAAAGTCAAAGGGATAATAAAGATTTCTGGATAATTAAAAGCTTTTGAAAACAGGAAAGGAGAGAAAAAGAATAAAAGGGTAGGATCTGGAAGGGAGGAGACTGCCTGGAATTAAAAAAGAACTTACAGCAAAATCTCAACAAGACTTCCAAAAGATACATTCTAACTGAAATATCGCAACAAAAACCCCAGGAAGAGAAAGTCGAAAAAGAAATAAGATATAACTCGGGACTATCTGGATTACTTGATGATTTCTGGATACTTGGTTATTGTTTTGAATGACTAAAATCAATCGGGTGGTTGTTTAAAACTGTTTAAAATGGCTCCACTTTTAGAAGAACTGAAAATGGAACTTAAAAAGTACAAAGAAGATGCACAAGAAGGGAGAGGTTGTTTGGCTTCGTATTTCAGTTTTTAGAAATGGAGATTTGGAATTATGAGAAACAACAAGAAATGCCTGCAGAACAAGAAGATTGCGACAAAGAAGAAGCCATCTTTAATGAACAAGTAATCTTAGAAGGGGGTGGGGAGGAAAGTGGGGAAAGAGAATGGAAAGTTTAAGATTGGGAAAAACAACTCCAAAAAAAACAGAGTGAAAAATAAGTATAAAATCAGAAAGTAACAGAAGAGGGAAATGCAGAAGAGAGAATTAGAAGTAGAGAGACAAGGGGGTAAAAAGGGGAAGGAGAAGATGAGAGGGAAGAAAGAAAGGAAAAGAAGTTATAAAGGACAGAAGCAAAATATAGAGAAACAGGGCCTATTTAGAGATAATGAGTGAAAACTTAATGGAAAAAGGGATTCTGCAAAGGTACATAAGATAGTATGGTTATATTAGAAGCAGAAATAATTTTAGAAAATATGAAATAATGTATGATTAAAATGTCTGATAAAATAGCTATTGTAATTCACTGGAATGCTTGTCAATAAATAAATGTAACAAAAGGTATATTTAATGATTTATAAAACATATGTGAAGAGAAATAAGGGAAAATTAATTATGGAGATTATATGTGTTTTTAAGGAAGTATGATATTTAATTGAAAAGAAGTGTTAAAGATGTTAAGATTTTAATGATTATTAATGATAGAACTGAACTGGAATGGAATGAGGGTTTATAATTACATATATTTACAATTTTTCTTTTTTTTAAAAGAATATATATTATACATTCTTATAATATATGTGTATTATAAGAATGTACCAAGCAGAATTCGATTGGAAGTTATGTATTATATTGAAGGTCATAAACTTAAGGTATATATTGAAGTTTAAATAAGAGTTGAATGGATGTAATTAAAAGATATAAAGGTGTCATACTCCAATTAGTAACTACAGAAGAAAATTTGTTTAATGAGAAAAGATAATATGAAATTGAAACAGAACGACAAAAGTATAAATATAATGATTTGAATTGAGATGAGATAATCAAAATAAAATTGAGAAAATTAAAAGAGGGGAAAAACTATATAGAAAATGTAAAATAGTATAAAATATGGAAAAAGGAGCATGAAATTGAGTTTGTGTCTGTATAAAGAAGTTCAACCCGGGACCATGCTATTTTCAAAAAAGATGTTTTACTTGTATTTTGTATGTGTGAAAACCCAAATAAAACTTTATTTTTTTAAAAAAAGTCTTTCTCTCCTCCAAACTTTGCCAGAATGGCGTAGCCTCTTGGAGCAGGATGCCTTGCAGGGTCCCAAAGACTCATTTCTGGCAGAGTTTGGGAGAGAGAAAGAAAGAAAGAAAGACCAAAATGTCCTTGAGATGAGGTGCAGTGTCTTGAACACCCCAAAGTGTCCCGCCGCCAGACTATCATGACATTGATGTAGGATAAGGCCATGAAGAGGACCTCCAGGCACGTAAATGCGATCATGGAATCGCAACAGGTCCCCAGTATACCCCCATATTTTCTCTTGTCTCCCATTCTCATCCAATTCTCGACGCCGAGCTGCCACAAATGGATCCACCGCTGCGCCTCCTGAATCCTCACTCGAAGGTCCACAGGTTCCTTGGTGGTTGCAAACCGCTCCAATGGAATCACCATCCGGGGCAAGATTTTGTCCTCCCTTCGGGTATACTCAGGCTTCTGGGATAGTGCATCAGTGCGTTGATTCCACCCACTCGGAACATAGGTCACCCGGAAATCAAATTGGGCAAAGAACAACGGCCATCTCACCTGACGCTGGTTCAATGTCCAAGTTATACATAGGTGTTCCAAATTGTGATGATCCGTCCAAACCTCGATCTGGTGACGAGCCCCCTCCAGGTGGTGCCGCCATGTCTCAAAAGCGACCTTAACCGCCAACAGCTCTTTGTCCCAAATTGTATAGTTGTGCTCTGGAGCTGACAACTTTTGGGAATGATAAGCGCAAGGGAACAAGGTGCCTGCGGGAGCGTAGGCCTGGAGGAGCACCTCACCAACAGCCACATCGGAAGCATCTGTTTCCCCCACAAACAGCCAGAATGGATCAGGGTGTTTCAGGATAGGCTCGGAAGCAAAGGTTTTCCTTGCGTGCAGCCAAAAGCAGAAGAAGAAAGAAGTGGAAAGAAGCACCCCAGTAGCGAGGCACGAGGAGTGAGTGGAGCAAGTTCCCCCCTCCACCCTTTCCCCCCTCCCCTCACTACCTTGTGTTGTTCGCAATGCAAGTGATGCAAACCTTATGCTCCCGCAGGCCATGTGGGCAGCGCAGCCTTGTGTTCCCATGTAGGCTGGATTAATTGCTTTGGGAAGTGCTTTGGGGGTGACATTTCTCTGCGGACCACCAAAAATTTCTCTGGACCACCAGTGGTTGTCCCTGGCAACCACTATTATATAAAATTTACGATAACAAACAGAAACTAAAGCAATGGCTGGCCGGACTTTAGTACTTTTGAAACTAAACAAATGTGCCCAGGTTGTAAAATGGCCACAAAATTCAAATGTTTTAAAACTGATCCTGCTGCATAGGACAAGGTAGAGTTTAGCACTTCAATACATTACCAAAAAGTCATAGCCATTTAGAAATCACTAGTATCAAGTTCATCAATTTCAATCAACTTCATGTTTTACTGTTCATTGCATGGATATTCTCATTTAATGTAGGAAGAATAATTGTGGAATTTATTTTATGTTTGTATGTTTAAGATCCAGAAGTTACAGAAAGATGAAGGTGCTTGGTTGCTTTGGAAAGGCTGAATGAAAATAAGTACTAACCATGTAATTGCTTGTGGGAGTTGGTGGTTTGAATTTCCCGAGCAATGAATGTAATTTCTGATTCTTTTTGAAAATCCAGATTATACTTGTAATGTTGGCCTTTATTATTACAGGTTTAATTATAGGCAACTAGAACTACATGCCATATAATAATACAACATTTTTACTGGAATATGCAGTTTGGCTACATGTGAAAACCATTCCATTCAAGAAAAAGGTATTATTAAAATATTTTCAATATTTAATTTTTACTTCAGCTGAAAATATCCAGTAATCAGAACCATCAAATACATTGCTTAGGGTTGGAGAAACAAATTGTAATAAGTCTGATTGTATGAGAGCCCTACACATGATTTCATCCAGGCATTGATACATACTTGTTTTATACAGCAGAAAGTGTTTCTAAGAAAAGTGACAAAACTACCATTGCTCTGGCATTTGCCCATGATGCATTCCTTTTCTTATTCATTGTGCGATCTGTCTATACCCATGTTACCAACTTTATTTTGCTGATCAGATGGAAGTAAAATTCTGGAGATGTGTATAGATCCAATCTGTCCCAAAAATGGTTAAATACCAGCATTGGGACAGATTGGTGTCATATAAGGGAACTGGACTTTCTTGACAACCTTTGCTTTTCATCCAAGAAGGAATGGTGGAGAATCGAAGGATTTATATTCTTTGCGTATTCATCTGATCCTTAGAATTCTGAAGGGCGGTCAATAGCTCAGTCGTTGAGGCCACTTGATGCACTACCAAGAAAGTTCCATACCCATTTGCACTCAGATGACCCTTGGGATATAGATAAAGCCCCAAGTGACCTCAACAACTCCGAGAGAGCTCAACAACTCAGAGAGCTAATGACCGACCTTCAGAGTGCTGACAACCAGATAAATAAATCCTTCCATTCCCCACCATTCAGCCAGAACTGAAGAAGCTTCTTGGATGAGAAATGAAATGTTTTCAAGGAAAAAAAAACAAGAAACTCCAATTGCTTTCTGAACAGCTCATTTGAGACAACCATGATTGAGAATCTCCATCGACATGGCATCAATTGGTTATACTGTACTCTGTTCCCTGGGTGGCATGATATGCTGCTCTTGAGTTAATGTTGAGGTTTAAAAGATTATTTCAGAATTGTATTATGGAATAGTTGGGTTTGGATGCAAAGCTGTTAACTTTTAGAGATTTTTCATATTCACGAGAGTATACCCTGTGAACAGAATTGTGGTACTTTAGGCAGGATTGTAGCTATTGGGATAAGAATATATAATAGCAATATCACTTAGACTTATATACCGCTTTATAGGGCTTTACAGCCCTCTCAAAGCGGTTTACAGAGTCAGCCTATTGCCCCAACAATTTGGGTCCTCATTTTTCCCACCTTGGAAGGATGGAAGGCTGAGTCAACCTTGAGCCTGGTGGGATTCGATCTGCCAAATTGCAGTAGGAGTAGCTTGCAGTACTGCACTCTAACCATTGTGCCACTGAGGCTCATAATGCCTAGGAAATGTCATTCTTTTACAATATAAATAATTTTTCCTTTTTATTTTTTTATGAATTCTCTCTAATTGCATAAAGTAATTTTAAATTTTTTTTGAAAGATAAATATACAAGGGCAGACACGAAAATTTTTTATATGGAACTTCTTTTCAATTTTAATTTCTCCCTGCAGCTGAAAACTACAGTATATTTGGCAAGTGAGGGGAACAAATTTTGAACTCTCCTTCACTATTAAGAGCACTTGTTGCCTCAGTTATTAATTTGAGAGTTTTTATCCTAGGATGTAGATAAATGTTTATCCATAAAGGAATACTGTCCTTCAATTCAGTAGATATGCCATTAGTAATGCTCTGTCTGTGCTGGATTACTTTCCAGAAGATTTACTTTCCAGCAGATCATAAAATCACAGGATTGGAAGGGACCTTAGAGGTCTAATCAAACCTCCTGCCCAGAGCAGGAGAACATATTCCATCCTGATGAATGGCTGGGTCCAGTCTTTTCTTGAAGACCTCCAGAAAGGGATCACCATAACTCGGGGAGGCAAGTTATTCCATTGATTAATTGTTAAGTTCTTTATGCAAATGTAATAGTGAAAAATAGCAATAGAATGGCAACACAGATTAAGCTATGTCAGACTATGATTATGGTTTGTTTTGACTTGCCATACCGTGTGAATTGGCCATTTTAATTTGTAGACCATGGTTAATGGGCAGTGCAATGTATCAACCCAACCAATTGTATCAGTACAGCCTCTGAAACTAGCTATTAGGTAAGAACCGGATTTTCAAAGGTAACATTCCTCTGTATCAGTAAAAGACTTAAATATGTGATTCTGCTTTGGATGAAGTCTGAATTCTTAAGGTTCTAAAAAGAGCAAAGTTATTTTCAAGTTCAACTTGCACAAAAAAGAATGAGCAAGCATACTGGAATCTTTGGAATGCAGTCTAAGCAGCATACGGCCATGTTGTGCATGTCTTGATGCCTTCTACAGTTTTTATGTTTTAGTATTGTATTTTTAAGTATTTGGACATTTTAACTTGGAATAATTTGTAATGCTTGTTTGGTTAAAAGAGGTTTTTATGGTCATCATAAAGGGTCAGAAAAAAGTTTTCCTTTCTGAGACCTGAACGTTCAAAAATAGATAGTGCAGGACTATATGCAATTACCAGCCTGCTTCAGTGAGGCAGCTTCTGATTTTCCTGACAGAGTTAAGCAAAAAGAATGATTGTACACTAATCATATTGTCTGGCTGTCTGAGAAAAAACAGCCTTACGCAAAAATAATAATTCCAGATAGATTGTAAAATATTCTTTAGCAGCTGTGGTGATTTTCTTAACTACAGCTGCAAAAAGGTCATAAAATTGGATATGATGATATGATGACTCAATTAACCAGTACAGCACTTAATGATGAAATTTGAAATCCCAATTGTGGTTGTAAGTCAAGGATTACCATATATGCTCCTTCATGTATGAAGCAGGTTTTTACACAACCTCACTGCATAAAATAAGGATTTACTAAACATTGCTGTTGAGGTTCTCTGCAATTGTCTCTCCATTATTCTTTTAGCTTTAAACAATAAAAGGGGTTATTTTGAAGCATTTGACCATCCCCAATACTAGGTTGTGATTACAATAGTCACTTTTGGGATTTATCATGTTGTTTGTCTGCGCATAAAATCAAATAGAATGTGATTTTATATTGTCCATAGAGGCATATTAAAGTTCTTTAAAACAGCTCTACAAAATACTATGGAAGTTTGCAAAATTGGTGAAGACACATTATTATGCACATTTAACCAGAAACACTGGGAGCAGAATGTGACAAATAGTGAACAATTTATTCTGAATCTTGCATGTTGTAGCATATTTTCTGTCTTAAAGTTCATACTCGGTCCTCTATTCCTTATCTTAACTAGCTGTAATGAACATTGTAAGCAAGCTGAATTTCTGAAGATTGTGAGCAGGTTTGTGTTTCATAAAAGAATTCTGAAAAACATGATTTAAGTAGTCCTACAGATTATATTTAAGTGTTGTGCATTTTCCAGACTAATATTTCACATGCACTAATCGATGTTCCTAGTGCTATTCTTTTCAATAATTGATTGTAATTAGATTTTAAACATGGTGAGTTATTAAGTTATCACTGTGAATAGAACTGTAGGGAGTTCTTTCTTTCTGTAGAATGCTTTATAATTGATTAATTATTTTTCTTTTCTTTTTTGTTCTATTTGTTTTTCCTTTTCTCTTCAACGAAAGGAAGCAAAAAAGCCTTATTTATTATCATTTTCCCCACTGTTGGCATGGCAACACAGGCTTACGTTACCGAATTGCAGGCAGCCCAACAACAATCACAACAACAGCAACAGTCTCAGCAACAGCCAGCAGCAACAGCAAACACAACAACACCAGTGGTGGTGGCAGCAGCAACTCAACAACAGTATGTGGCAGAATTGCAAGGTGCCCAGCAGCAACAGCAGCAGTCAACCCCAAAACAGTATGTTACAGAAATCCCAACTTCTCAGACACAGGCTCCACCCACTGGACAGCAGACACCAACGCCTGCGCCACAGCAGTACATTGTAGTAACTGTTTCTGGTAAGTGTTTAAGGGGTGAAGGAAAGTAGGGAGATTGTCAGGAAAAAAAATGAGAGCGGTCATTTGGAGAGATTAAATGCACTTTATTTGCTGTATTTTTTAGAATATAAGACACTCCAGACTATAAGATGTACCTAGCTTTTGGGGAGGAAAACAAGAAAAAAAAATCTGTCTCCCAGCAATTTGCCTCCTTCAGCAAATAGCAAACAGCCTGGTCACCTTCAGCACAGCCTGATTTAGCACAAGCAGCTGATTGGTTAGATCGGCTTCCTGGAATACTGCCTATCACCTGTTCCAAACTGCAGGGATTGTCGCCACCACTGCGCACCCCGTTTCGGCCTCCACGTGACCCATTTTTGGCTTCCGCACATCCCATTTTCAGCCTGTTCTAGGTGCCAGGCATTCCCGCCACCACCGATTGCTGCCAATCACCGAATGGCTGTGGTAGTGATCGGCGGTAGGGGCGATCTTCACCGCCTGGAACAGGCTGTAAACAGGACGCGTGGAGGCCAAAAATGGGCTGCGCGGAGGCCAAAAATGGGGTGCACGAAGGCTGAAAACGGGGCATGCAGAACCTGAAAATGGGGCGCATGGATAATGAAAATGGGATGTGTGGAAACCAGCTGTTTGCTGCAAGGAGGCAAATTGTTGGGAGGCAGAGGCTGAAAGGTGGTGGCTGGTGGTGGGTGGTGCTTTGGCAACATTCGCTCTATAAGATGCACAGAAATTTCCACCCACTTTTTGGGGGTGGGTGGGAAGTGCATCTTATAGACCTAAAAATACGGTATTTACAGCCTTCAAGTAGGGGAGCTTGTGAAAGCCATTATCAGTGCCACTTCTGTAAAGACTATCAAGTAAAAGTATAATCAGCCCAAATATCAAATATTTCTGATTCAACCAGTTTGGGAATACTGACAATAGTAGCTGGCAATATCCTTCCTAGGCAGCTTTTAGGAAATATTTCCCTTTGTTTCAAGCACAGAATCTTTTCATCTGCCTTGAAACCTATTTGTGAAATATTTCCCTCAAATATTATAATCATTGAAGATCCCATTGCATATCTATGTAACTGAGTATATTTATAATTTGAACATATCTCCAGATAGCTTTCCTTAATTTGTAGTTGTGTGATTTGCATTTCATAGCTTCTTGGTCTATCTTTACTAGAAGAATACGGTCGATTTCAAATGATAATTTGCTTAATCTCATCAATCCCACATGAAGTCCTTTTAAATTTACTACTATATTTTAAAATTGTTCTATTGAAATATGTATGTATAAAAATATATGGTATGACTGTATTGAAATGCATGATTAAAAGCTCAGGTGAGAGAAGTGATTTAAATTTGGTTTGCAAAAGTCAATTGAAGCATTCATTGAGGATTTCCAGATCCAGCATTTAATTTGTCTTTAAATATATTTTCTAATTCTCCATCAGCTATTGTGAACAATTAGTGTCCATCTTTTTAAATTATATACTTAATTCTTATTGTAGTAGTTATATTGTATACAGTTATCACAAACACTTAATTAGTGAATACTGAAACCCCTGGGAATGTCTATGTCGAGTGACTATATTTTTCACTTCTCTGCATATTCATGAATGACCATGAAAGCTCTCTTGGTATTGATTTTGCAGTTACAAATAAATTTTGAGTAGGGAATTAGCAAATACAGAATAGTCTCAGCAAATTCATTCTGGGTCTTGCATCAACAATGAAGATTTGCATTTAGAACTTAGGTATGATGATGAGACTAGAATCTCTTCCTCCTGTGTGGTATGCAACAGAACCTTTCTTTCACTAATCAGATTTTTATGATAGATAGTTCCTATATATTTTCAATGATAGCCCAAGAATATTAATCTATGTACAAAGTTTTAGAAGATATGACATGAACTCTGCATCACAGCCCTGCACAGACCTGTAAGGGTGAGATTCCAGGACAATTGGAAATGTAATATAATAGATTGCTTAATTCTTCTGCTTACATTAATAATAATTAAAAATAGTCTAAGAGTTCAGTGTCTGTCTGACCCAAGTGGAAGGCTGCTTCTAACATGTCAGAGCAGATTCGGGCTAGGGTTTTAATACTTGAATGAGAGACCACCAGAGAATTCCAGGGCTTGCAGGCAGGACTAGAAAGTTAAAAAACAAACCAGCAAACCAGAAGATAGCAATGGCATACCATTTTGGCACTGTTACCAAAAATTGCGTATGCATTATTATAATTATTTTTAATCTCGGCTGTCACGCTTTGTTTCATGTTTTTAATTTCTGTATACAGTATTCAGTGTTACTGAATTACTTCAGTGTTGTAAGCTGTCCGGAATCTAGTGAAATGAATAGCTATAATATATTTAATAAAAATAATAATAATGAATATAAACATGTTTATAAAATCATGATGAGAGAAGTTTCATGACATATTTCTTTTACATTTACATGATAATATTTAGTTTCATTTGAATTTTGTCACAACAGAAATTTACATTTGAGCTGCTTGAATGACTACCATCATTCACGTATTATGTGAATTTTCTACACTTCGTTTTTGCTATAGATTGCGCAGAGATTAGAGAGAGTTGGAAAATTACAGAAGAATGGGGAAAAGACTGGAAAAAAAGAGCCATCTTGATCTAGTGGTCAAGGCACCAGGCTAGAAACTAGGCACAAACTAGTCCCACCTTGGACATGAAGCTAGCTAGATGATCTTGGGCCACTCATTCTCTTTCTCAGCCCAACTAATTTCACAGAATTGTTGCTGTAGGAAAAAATAAGAGGGAGGATTATTATGTATTTTCAATGCTTTTAATTATTTATAAAAATAATAAAGGCAGGACTTTAAAAAATTCTGCCTAGTAATTTTCAGTGCAACTTTATTTGACTTTTGTGCAAAGAGCATATTATATTAGTGTCTCCATGACCAGGGTTCAGCAAAAAAAATTGGTTAAGGATTTTTCATCTCAGAGTTCTTTTGTTCTGCACCCTTCTGAAGGATTTTAGCTCCTCTCCTTTCACAGAGTGGAAATCCATAAGCGAGATGCTTCATCCTATAGCTGCCAAAGGATTTCAGCTCCCCTTTGTGCTTCTATCCTCCCCTGCTGGCTTCTCGATTGACTTCCTGAATTGTCAAGCAACCAGATCACAGTCATGTGACCATGCAGGGGATTGGGGTGACATTTTGCAGCAATCAAGAAGTGCCTTATGCACCATAAAGCACCCTTTCTGAAGCCATCGTTAATTTTAATGGTCATTAAGCGAGGGCTATGTCTTGAAGCCAGCAAAGTTCAAATGAGGAAGTGGGATTGCAGATTGTTGTTCCACTCATAGCAGATATTTCTGGGATAAATGAGCAGGTTATTTGAAATAGTATAATATTGTAGCTGAATCATACTGTTTTCTTATAGTCTCTCTCTCTCTTTCTCTCTCTCTCTCTCTCTCTGTCTCTCTGTGTGTGTGTGTGTGTGATATTTATTTATTTATTTATTTATTTGATTTGTCAATTGTTTACAAGATAATAAGTACAAGTGTATACATAGTTGTGAATATATGAAATGGGTACATATAAGAAAAATAAAAGAATAAGAGAAACAATAGGACAGGGACGGTAGGCACGTTGGTGCGCTTATGCACGCCCCCTACAGACCTCTTAGGAAAGGGGTGAGGTCAATAGTAGACAGTCTAAGGTTAAAGTTTTTGGGGTTTGGGGAAGAGACTACAGAGTCGGGTAGAGTATTCCAGACATTGACCACTCTATTGCTGAAGTCGTATTTCCTGCAATCAAGTTTGGTGCGGTTTACTTTGAGTTTGTATCTGTTGTGTGCTCTTGTGTTGTTATGGTTAAAGCTGAAGTATTCATTGACAGGTAGGACATTGCAATGTATGATTTTATATACCATGCTTAAGTCGGACCGAAGACGGCGTAATTCGAGGTTTTCTAGTTTTAGAATTTCGAGTCTGGTGGCATAAGGTATTCTACAACGGGTAGAAGAGTGGAGAACTCTTCTTGTGAAATACTTCTGGACTTTCTCAATTGTGTTAATATCACATACGTGATAAGGATTCCAGACTGATGAACTGTATTCGAGTATTGGTCTAGCAAATGTTTTGTATGCTCTGGTTAGTAGTGAGATATTACCAGAGAAAAAGCAACGTAGGATTAGGTTAACAACTCTTAATGCCTTTTTGGCTATGTAGTTGCAGTGAGCTCTAGCACTTAGATCATTAGAGGTAAGTATTCCCAGGTCCTTTACAGAGTTTGGGTCATCAACAAGATCTTGACTATTCAGCTTGTATTTTATTTTCTGATTTTTTTTACCAATATGTAAGTCAGAGCATTTATTTGTTGAGATTTGGAGTTGCCATATGTTAGACCATTCAGATACATAGTCTAGATCTTTTTGTAGGGTAGTAGTATTGTCTGTGGTATTGAACAGCTTTACATCATCAGCGAAGAGAACGCAATTGCTCTTGATATGATCACAAAGGTCGTTTATGTAGATTATGAAGAGAGTTGGTCCTAGAACACTGCCTTGGGGAACACCAATATGGTGGTTAATCTGTTGGCATATGGAAGTTGTACATTGAATTTTGTTTTTGTTTTGGAGCTATCTTAGTAATATCACTGTATCACAAAGATAGGTAGATCAGGATTGCGAACAGTGATTGTTTGATTTTGATTGAGGTTATGCTGGAATGAAAGTTAATGCAGCTTCCCCAACCACTAAATAACAAGAACTCTCAACTTGCCACAGTGTTTGATAGCATGATTGGGGTGGGGTCTGGATCAGAGAATAGGGACCTAGAGAATGCTTTTAATTCATAGGCTACTGATTATCCTGTAATAGTGACTTTTTTCCTCTGTAAATGCAGAGTACTTCTCTCTTCTCCAATTTACTAGACAACCCATGCCCTGTTGATACTTCCTTATCTAGACTTAGACTTAGAAAAACTTTCTTGTCACTTTGAATGTACACTGATCGGCATACATTAAAATGA